TAAAATTAAAAAAAAAAGCTACAGCATTTAGAAAAATTAGAACAACAAAAGACAGTTTATTGGAGGAAGAAAGATGGAAAAGAGAGGCTAGACAGCTACTATGAAGTGGGAGGGGGCTTCAAAGCTAAAAGCCCGAGTCACAGATTTTATTGGCAATTAAGAGATAATCATGGGTGCGTCCTTGTCTTTTATAGTTAAAACAAAACAAATTTTTGATAGGATTTTTCAGCGCAGAAGGGAACTATCTGATAGTATTTTGGCATGGCTAAAAAGAAGTATGAAATATAAATGACCTTTATTTTAAGAATGTGGGGAGAGACCCCCTGACCCTCTAGGGTCTGGCATTGTCTCTGGGGGCTGGCATTCTCTCCAGCAGACACGTGGTGTGGGGGCATACATGTAGCTTAGGTTTGGGGTGGTGCCTAAGGGGCATTAGTGATGCACAGGTAGCCCATTGGTATTCATTTCGCGCCACAGGTGAATTCCTAGGGGTGGGGAAGATAGAGCCCCTTGGTTCCGCCTCCAAGGCTTTACTGGCTACAGTGTCTGGGGCAAAAACCTTTCAGTTTTGATTATGGTTGTTACTGTTTTTTTCCTGTTTTAGTTTTGGCTTAGACTAGAGAGCTAGGGAAACCGACAGTCAGCTTCTTGAGACATTGGATGTGTGCTGCCAAACCTGGTGCCCTGGGGGTTTCAGACGTTCCTTCTGACTCAGGTCATGAAGGGACAGTAGAGAACAGGTGCTCCTGAGAGACTGTCAAGCCAGACTGGATGCCAGGTGAGCGGCTGGAGTAGGACACTGTGTACGGGTGGAAGAGGAGCCTGAGCAGAGCCAAGAGTGGGGCAGACATCCAGAGACCCGCCAGGGACTGCAGAGAAGCATCCAGCATCTACTTCCAGGACTTGACTGCAGCTGGAGATATTTCTCAGGTCAACGCGAGAAGGCAGCCTAAATCAGCCCCTTGTATCAAGGCTTCCTGAGCTGGGTATTCTTAAAGACCGCTGGCAGTCTTGGCTGCCCGCTAGAATCATCAGGAATAAAAATACAAATGTTCTTGCCCAACTCTGGACCAAGTATAGCGGGATCTCAGCAGGTGAGGTAGCTGCACCGTTATACTTGATAAAAACTTGACTTTCCCTCTCTGATATCAAATAGACGAACATTTGTCCAAGGCAGTTAGATTCCCTTTAGAAGGATTATTTAAAACCACGATTAGTGATCTTTCTAGAGAATATAATTTTAAGAATTAAATCCTCCAAATAAACTCAGGAGCCAGAACAATTATCTTTGTTTTAATGATGGGGAGATCAAGGCTTCTCATTCAGTCCGTTGACCAGAGTCAAGAAGCTTACTGGTTGTGTTCCTGAGCTTGAATGCACCTGATTCATAGGTAGAAAGAATCGGGCACATTCACACAAACATTTTTAAAACAGCTTTGTAAACAGAAAGAGGTTTACCATATTGTTTGTGTTTATGTAAAAAGCCAGTCACAGAGCTAAAACCATAACCTACGTCTCCTGACTTTTAGCCCAATCTGCTCCTAAACAAACACTCAAGGATGGTGTCGTGCCACTAAACCCCAACTGCCAAGCAACCTGACTTCACAACAGTGTGTTTAGTTGTTTGGAAGGAAATGCGTCACCACCCTCACTTGTCCAGCCTCTGAGAACTGAGTCTCAAATCATGTGTCAATTTTCTTATTGCCACAGAATGAACTTAGAACTTGTCTTTGGAACTGCCAGCCAGGTAGAACGGGTGTGACCTTCTGGAATAGAGATAGCTCAGAGCTTACACATCCCTCCCGCTGACTGTCACCTCAGGGCCATGCATCACTTTTAAATTCCTTGGTTCAGGGCTGCTGTGATTTGTGAATTGAACAAGAGGCAGTGAATTGGTGTGACCTCAAGAAAACCTTTTTTCTTTTTCTGGCATATTAGATACTAATGATGCCTACAATTAGATGGTACCAAAAGTTACATAAAATCTATGTCTAATGAGAATGCTCTAAATTCATTTTTAAAATATTTGGGTAAATTGTTGAGCAGAAAGCATTCCATTTAGAAGGGTAGGATTAAAGGAGAGACAACTATGACTCTGTGTGTCTGTGTCTTGTTTTCTATACAGTAGGAAAGTTTAAAACAAAACAAAACAAAAAAAGAAAACCACCCAACAATAATCTTCCCAGAGCCATCTATGGATCCTTCCTTTCTGTTTTGAGGACCATTTGTCTTAACAGGCTGCTCTCCTTGCTAATGCTGTTTTTCTGTGCGAGATGATAAAGGGAACTGAGTACTCAAAGTTAGATGTGTAACAATTCCAAACACAGACTCAAAAAATTTCTTCAGTTAGGAAACACAGTCCTGGCTTATGAAAACTGGATCACAATATGGAAAATATTTTAGACATCACATTGATTAGGAAAAAACCTCCCAGCATTTACAATTGCTACCTACCATGATTGCCAAAAAATGTTAAATAAATGTAGTTACATGTGTATCATGAGAGAAAGGATGAAAAGGCTCATTTTAAAAATTGAATATTTTAATAATGGAATAATAGCACTTCAGAGATCACTGATTAGCCAGTGTCTCTTCTAGGGCTCTCTGTGGCATTTTCTGAGAGTGCAGAAGATTTCAGATGATGTATTTTAATGTTCCTTGGAGAAACAGTATGTTTAGTCCGGAGAGGACCAGGACAGGAGTCAGACTGACTTCTAGGGACTGCTGTTAATCTAGGGGGAGTGGCTCAGTGCCTTGTTTTTGACCTGACTCTTTACTGTTCTAAGGGATCAAATGTGAAAGGGACCCTGTGCAGAGAGCCCCATCCTAGAACTTGAGTGCTTAGGGCTGGGTGGGGGTAGGCATTAGCTAAAGAGAATGAACTAGGTGGGGGTAATTCTGACATAGATTTTTTTTTGCTTCATAACTATTTAAGATTTATTTTTGATTTCCACTCAAAATATATTACTTCATTTTTCTTAAATACACAAAGTCTTACATCCTTGTTATTTTTGCCCCATGTGATAAAGACATGATGGGCCTAACAGTTATTTCTTGTTTCTCTTAATTGTGCAATTTGAAAAACACATGGCTCTTGGCTTTTGGCTCTGTAAAGGGGAAAATCAGAGGATGGAGGGAGGCTGTGAAAAACAGAAGAGTGGGTGCCTGGGCTCAGTGATCTGAACTCCTTACTCAAGCCAGGTATCACCATGAGGGGGCACTGGCTTAGCGTGGAGAATTTTGTCAATTTCGTTTAAAAAAGAAAAGCAAAATGGATTAAAGATCTTAATATTAAAACAGAGACTTTAAATCTGCTGTAAGATAGAGTAGGTAAAACTCTTGAAGACACTGGTGTAGGCAGAGACTATGAATAAAACCCAGAGTGCACAGGACTTATTGCAAACAATCAACAAATCCTACTGAAAAGCTTTTCACAGCGAGAGAAACCATCAGCAGAGTGAAGAGACAACCCACAATGTGGGAGAAAATGTTTGCCAGCTGTTCCTCAGATAAAGGATTATTATTGAGAACATATAAAGAACTCAAATCAATCATCTCAGATTTACAGACCCAATCCAAAAATGGGTATATGAGATGAACACACACTTCTCAGATGAGGAAGTACAAACAGTAAATAAATATGTGAAAAATGTGCAACAGCATTTGAAACCATTCGAGATATGCAAATTAAAACAACACTGAGATTTCACCTCACCCCAGAAAGAATGGTTAATGTTAATAAATCAATTAACATTGTTAGTACTAAAGGGGCTGTGGGGGAAAAAGGAACCCTTCTCCACTGTTGGTGGGAGTGTAGGCTGGTGCAATCACTGTGGAAATCAGTGTGGAGATTCCTCAAAAAACTAGGATTGGAGGTCCTATTTGACCCAGCTATTCCCCTTCTTGGTATCTTCCCAAAAGAATTAAAAACATCATACAACAGTGTTATATGTGCACCCATGTTTATAGCAGCACAGGTTATAATAACTGGATCTTGGAAACAACCTAAATGGCCCATCAACTGAGGAATGGATAAAAAATATATGGTATTTCCATATAATGGAGTACTACTCAGCCATAAAAGGTGATAGACTGGACATTTTTATAGGTAAATAGCTGTGCCTTGAAAACATTCTTATTAGTGAAATAAATGTCATGCAATGTATCATCATTGCATTGTTTCATTAGTATGATAAGGAAGAAATATATATTTTTCCCCAGAGAGAATGATATCAGCCAAGCAGCAACTCAGGCCACACCTGCCTTTCCTTCAACCCACTGTGAACCATTCTGAGTTGACTTTTGGATGTCTTAAGAAATTCTTGATGTGCCATAAGGTTTGGGTTTTTGCATATGGATATCCATTTGTTCCAGTATATTTATTGAAGGTGCAATCCTTTCTCCACTTAATTGCTTTGGCGTCTTTGCCAGAAATCAACTGTGTGTTGGGTGGGTATCTATTTTGGCACTTGATATTGGTACTTCAGTGGTTTGTCTGTCTTTCTATTAATGCCATTTTGTCATGATTGGTGTAACTTTGTGATAAGTTGTGGGACTGGGGAGGGTTGGAGCTCTAATTTTGTTCCTATATCCAAGTTCTTTAGAATATTATGAACCTTTTTTATTTTTACAGAAATGTAAGAATCAAAATGTTAATCTATATGAAAAATTATGTTGACAGTTTGATAAGGGATTGCATTTTCCAAACTTTATTCTGTTCTTTGATTTGTTTTTGGTTTCATTCTCTCTTTTAATAAAAGAAAAGAAAAGCAAGAAATTGATATTTTGCCATGACATCTCCCAGTTTCTAACTGTTGAACAACTGAAAGGCCAAGAGCTGTCAATGTGGACAGAACACTTGTGCGAACCTCATACAAAACCACAAGCCACCGTGTCGAGAGCTCATCAGAGTTCACGTGATCGTTTCCATATCCCAGCTTCCCCTCCCTTATCCGCCCACCATAAGGCACTTGCAATTCAAAGAGGGAAGACAGACTTACTATGGAGCTGCTGAAGGCCACGGGCGGCTGTGAGCTTTCACGGCGCCCTACAGACCTTTGTCGGGAGTGACCCTGGATGGGCACCCGGGCACTCTGACTCCTCCTCAGAGGCTGGCTGCCCCCTTGGCTTCTCATCGTTGCTGGCCCCGGGGTCCATCTCGCTGGGAATGACAGGCACTGGTACTGGGTCCACTCTTCACTGTCTGAGTCCACCTCCTTTAGGGTCTCCAGTCGCTTGGCTGCAAGAGAAGCACGTCATACCTTGGCAGGACCATGGTTAGGAAGATGCTAGACTGTGGGGGCAAGAGGGGGGGGAGCCTAGGAAGGCTGTATGCTGCTGTGCAAAACTGGCAACTCGGCTACCAAGATGGGAGGGAGAGGGTGCAACTCAGCCCCCTGTTCACTGTCGGGTCCTGTTACCCTCTAGGTACGGGACTCTGACTCTGAGCTGTCACTTAGCTTTATCTATTTCCACAGTTAAGAGCTTATTAAAATATACTAAGCTCATAGAATTGTTTTGAACATTTAATGATACAATGTATGAAAATGATTAGCTCACTGAGTACTTGTATTGGTAGCTATTATTATTAAAAAGAGATCAGAAGCTCCCACATGGATGGCAAATTATCACTATGGCAAAGGAGGGTACGCCCCTTACAATATCTCTTCCCTCTCTACTCATCTTTTAATCAAAAGAATGGATGCTCTTTTGAGGGTTTTTTTTCTTTCTGTGTGTGCATGTGTGTGTATGGGGAGGGTATCTGAAGGAATCAGTTGAATTGTATGGCCCATCTTCAGTCCATGTAATATAACAGTCCAGGTATCTTATTTATTGCCCTATCTCCTAGATCAAAATGTTCTCCTAGAAAAATTTAAGAGGGCAGGTAGCATGGAAGGCATTTTCTAGATATGTAGAGCCGACCATGGGCCTGATCCCTCATCCTGACCTGTCAGGTTTGGTGACCCGTAAAATTCCTAAGATTTGGTGATGAACTGGTACACTATGGTCCCTAGTCCAGACATAAACATCCTCTGTTGTAAATGCTACCAGACAAAGACAGACTGGAGGGGGTAGTGGTGGTGTAGTTTTTAAATCTCTTTTTTGTCTCTTTGTGACAGGGTCTCACTGTGCAGTTTAGGCTGGCCTTGAGCTCACTGTGTAGCCCAGGCTGGTCTCAAACTTGTAAGGACCCTCCTGCCTCAGCCTCCCAAGGGCTGGGATCAAGGTCACTTTTAAAAAGCCTTTGTGAGCCAGTGAAAGTTTAGATACCAGTGTTGTTCTTTGATAAGGAAGACTGAGTTACAGGAAGTAACTTGATGAAACTTCCCACAGGCAGGGCTGTAAGGGGACTCTGGGGAGTACTTTTTCCTCCTTCTTTAGGAGAAAAAGGGTTCTTTCCTTCTACAGCTAGGGTTGGAGGTGCATGGGAACCCTCTTACCATTTTCTTGGTGACAGTACTCGCTACCCATGATGGTGCAACGTCTGAAGACCATCTTGTTCTCTGTTAGAGTTCCCGTCTTGTCAGAGAAGATATATTGAATCTGGCCCAGGTCTTCTGTGATGTTGAGAGCTCGGCACTGAATGGGCAGATCAGACTCTTCATCGTACAGGTCAAGGTCATGGTGTAGAAAGAAAACCTGCCCAAGCTTCACCAGCTCAATAGATACATACAGAGATATGGGGATCAGCACCTGAGAGGGAAGAGATACCACTGCATCAGAGATCAGCTGAGCTCCCTGCTTCTGGACTCTCATTTGTACTCAGTAGCAAAGGCGTTTAATTGACAGCTGAGTGTGGTTCACAGGAAGTACTTTTTTTGAGAAATTAAAGGTCAGCGACTTCACACTGTCCTTGGAATTTCCTTGGGGTGAAACTGGAATAGAAGCCCTTCAATTAGGGGTGTCTGAATGTAAGGAGTACTCACCCTGGTAATGTAAATGTTATGGTCAGTGAGGGAGTTTTACTGCCTCTACGGAATCGCCCTCCACCCTCCAGATCTATGCATGGAATGTCACATGCACAGGCACTCACACTCATGGTTGGATGGTATCCGCTAACCTAATACCTAATATTTTTCCACTGCTTTCTTTGTCTTGGATGATGTTTTAACTCTTGGAGATGGGAGTCATCAGAATAAAACCCCTGGCCTCAAAGAATTCACATCCCTTCCAATAACAGTAAAAAAAAAATCCGTATGGGATGGCTACCGTTAAGCCTCATGAGGGAGAATAAAGAAAAAGAGGGGAGAGGGTGATGGGTGAGAAGGATTCTTTTTATAGACTATGACCTTTGAGCAGGGAGGGAAGAAGAGACAGCGTGGGTTATGAAGTTCTCTGTGGGTGGAGAGTTCCTGGTGGTGGGCGTGGCCTGGGTGTCTAGGGGCAGGGAACAGTGAGCAAGCCTCATAGTTGAGTGGGACAGAAGAGAGTCAGGAGGTGGGGCCAGGTGGGTCAAAATCCAGGTCTCTTAGTTGGCTGTGGTCAGGGACTTTGGATTTCATTTTGAGCAGCTATGAAATTACTGGTCAAGTCCCTGCAGAGACCAGTTATGTTCTGATTTTAAAATTAATTACATGGCTACATGAATGAGTGAATGCTTGAAAATGTCTAATGTTTAGGGGGACAATGAAGCACTTCAAATACTACAAGAAATTTAATGCGGATGGAAGCCCATCAAAGCAAAATTACTTTTCTTGTCTTCGTATAGACTGTATTTTCTTATAGAGCATGAAGATTTAGAAAATTTTTCACTTTTATCCCTTATATTCTGTTGGTGTTCTGTATTTTTTTCTTCTATTCTAATCTTTTCTATCTCAACCTATCAAATGATAAAACACTAAGTTGCCTTTGAGACTTTCAGTGCTCGGAGCAGTAACTCTGTCACTTCAGCCTGTTGTGATCGTAGGTCATTAGTGTCTGCCTGCTCTGTATCAGGCAAAGGGACAGTACTATAGGTCACAGTCACAAACTCACTCTTAAACAGCAACCGCCTGATCAGCATTTCCCTCCAGCTGTATGAAAAGGGCCAGGCTCTCTCCCCAAGGCAGGGAGACTTCCAGTATGGACACTTTCAAAGACCCACCAGAAATGAGTAACCACCTCCTCATCAAAGTCCAGGTACTTCTTTCTTGGGAACAGCATCATTTTCTCTTAGTTTTCAGAGTTGCAGGGGTTGGGGAGGCTGCCTACCTGGAGCAGGATGATCATGGTCAGGAACATGTAGAAGCCCGCAAGGGCCGGGGTAAGGAAGTCGCCACCGGGATCTGGCACATCGAAGGGAGGGTGTTCTTTAAAGGTCCCGTTCCAGACACTGTGACCTGGGAAGAAGCAGACCTAGGGATGAGATAAAATTTCTGTTTGGCTTTAAAGATGGTTAGGTACAGCTTTCCCTGAGCTGTTCCTAGAAGTTGGTGGGCTCTGGAGAAGCCCATCCTTCCTCCCTACAACACAGCTGTGGGCCTCTGTTGCCTTCAAAGCAGTCCTTTATGTATTTCATATTTCTATGGATTGAAAGATGGTCATTAAATTTTAGGAGACTAGAATAAGGATTAAGTACTTTTAATAAAGTCTTGTTACATAGGTTTGGAAAGGGGGCATGGTTGGTGAGTCTGGACAAACCTGTGCCCTGTTTTCTCTTTGCCTCTGTCTATCCCTGTCTCCGTTCCTCCATTTCTCTCTCAGCTCATTTATTCCTTATATAGCCAACACTGATTAATTCGAAAAGGCATCAGTCCTTGTTCATCAAGGCATCAGTCCTTTCAAAGTTCCCTAGCAAGTTCAGGAGCACGACGTCAGAAGCCAGGCGACAGACAGCATGGAAGGTGCTGTGCCACAGCCTGTGTTTCCTGCTCTGCATAGGAGCTGACACTTGTCCCCCATGGATCACGCAAGATGGGGCTGCCACAGAGACTGCTAAACCTCAGTGTCCTAATCTGTTGATTAGCAACACCACTTGCTCCATGTGAGACTGCGAGAGAAGAATGCTCTCTGCTCCAGGGCAGGGATCATATGGAGTAGGAAGCATAGAGAATGATGCCCAACCCAGAGAGCATGTCTCTGCCCAGGAAACTGGGCCAAATGCCATCACACATGGCAGAAAAAGACTTCCAGATATGACGTTATCTGAAAATAATATTATACAGCCAATGACTTGGCATAACCTAAGGGTCCCTGGACCTCAGGAGAGCAAGTTAAGGACATGGGTGAGGCTATAGAAGTCTGCAAGGATGAGGAAGAGGGAGAAGACTTGAGAGGCCTGGAGGGTGGGCAGGTGTTGGGGTGGGGGAGAGAAAGGCCAGAGGAGGGCATGTGGGGCAAAGAAAGAAGAAGAAACACCACTCTTACAAAAGTAGAGTGGCTAGGTAAGGAACCCTGAGTGCTTTAGTGAGACACCAACAGAATTCTGCTTGATGTAAGAGTTATTATTCTTCAATAGAAATCTGTCGCCCTCCTCCATGAAGTCTCTCCAATTATTGTTTTGGGAAATCAGCCAAGCTAATTTGGGCTGTCTGTGCCTTGTCTCTGTGTGGGGCCTTTTAATCATTAGCTTTCTTTCTCTGGAGACACAGTGAGAGGATCTCAGTGGTCCTTTAAGCTTTGAAGTGGCTGAAACACCTGTCCCAAGACAAAGGCAACAAACAGTTTTGTGGTGACCCTTGTGGGCACAGTTCGGCCATGTGGGTGGCAGTAAATGGTGGCTTCCTTCTTGGGGCCTATTCTATCCTACTGTGGGTGCTGTCTGTACACCCGTGGGCTACCCTTACCTGAAATACTGCCAGACTCATTGTGAGCCCCAACTCGGACAGAACTTTCCAGTACCCACCTGTCTGCCAGCAGAGGTACTGTTTTCAGCTTGGTGCAGTACCCTTGGCCAACACAGGATGCCATACAGGAGATAAAATGGAGCAAGGAATCTTCCAGAGACCTGGAGACATCTGAATGTTTACATCGGATGCCTCAAGGACTTTGTCCACTGATGCACGAGACATCCATAGAATTTTGACCATTGATATTTCTAAGATCCTTTTGCCTAGTGTTTCTTGTCTTTCAATCTGTATAAAAAAAGCTCACTTCTCTTTGTTTTTTACAGATGGCCTTTTCGCCCTCTGTCTGCTTGCACCCAGGCACAATAAATTCACGCCATATTGCTGTTACACAAGCCCATTGCTTATGCTCATCTGGAAAATATAGTTAGCAAAAACTCCAGGCCACCTTTGAGACTAAGTCCCACTGTGGCCACCATGGTACACACTAGACCTCTCTGAGCCTAGGACCACCTCTGGCTTTTGGACGTGATCTTTCTAAGAACAATGATGCTGTGATTCTAAGGCAGTGTTCCTTATTGGCTCGGGCTCTGATGGTCTTCCTCTTGATCAACCCTGATTCTATTTGGGATCTCCTTTAGCATTCTGTGAAGAATCCTTAGATTTATGCCCAGGGGTGGAGAGAGTAAGAACTTCACAGAGGACTCTTTTCCCCTTTCCTGAGGATTTACTTCAGTGATTCCAGATTGCTCCTATCCATACCTCCAGTCATATCCGGTCCTGATTAGGTCTCCATCGCAGGCCTTGATGTGCCACACCAGACAGCCAACTACTTCTCTGCCTTTAGCGATTCTCTTTCCTACCCCTGTGCTTAGCACCTGCCACCCCTGAGGGTAAGAGTGACCTCTTTTTCCTTACAGCTGCTTGTCTCATCCTCCTGTTAAACTTGCCTCTACTGTCTACTGCCTGCTCCTTTTGGGGGTCAGCCAGGACAGCTGCTGTCCAAGAAAGGCTCCCATAGTACCCATGGGAGGCTAAATAATTCATATATCCTCCAGCAGACACATCCTAGTTCCTGAGCTTGTGAATATGTCCTGTGTGGCAAAGGGACTTTGCACATGTGATAAAGTTGTGCGATTAGAGGTGAAGAGTTTGTCTGGAGCTACTTGGTGAGCTCAGGGTTGTCACTGCAAGTGTTCTTAGGAAAGGAGGGGTTATTGCTGCAGAGGAGGAGAAGGAATGTGTACAGGAGTAGGAGTGGTGTGCTTTGAAGGTGGAGCAGTGGATACAGACCAAGGAATGTGAAGAACAGACTCTTCCCTCCTAGCCAAGCTAGAAGCAAACAAACCTGCTAGTATATTAATCCTAACCCAGAGAAATGGATTTTGGACTTCTTACTTCCAGAGCTATAGCAGAATAAATGTGTACGTCTGGTTTTTTTTGTTTTTGTTTTTTTTTTTTTTTTGTGCTGAGAATTGAATCCAGCACTGTCACAATGAGCTATATCCACAGTCTTATTTTTTTGAGACGGGGTTTTGTTAAGTGGCTAAGTTGCCCGGGCTAGGCTCAAATTTGCAATCTTCCTGCCTCATCCTCCAAGAGTAGCCTAGCTATCTGTGCTGCTTTGAGCCACACAGTTTGTGTTAATTTTTTACTAATATGGTACCATCTGCAGCCCATTGTGGAGAGGGTCAGGTTGTGTTACCAAGTCTATTCACATCTTTTCATTCTTTTTGTCTAGACTGCTCTTCAGCTTGCTACCCTCCCACACTCAGATAACTGACAGATGAAATTCTTAGTGTTTAAAGGGCACACACTACTTTGAGGAGATTTTTACTTGGCATTTCCATGGCATCCCATTATTGTATTTTTATTAGCCCCATTTTATAGATGAGGAAGCTGAGGCACAGAGAATTAAAGAAATTGTCCAAAGAAATATGGGATTACCATGTGTCCCCCAGAACATTCCATACCTACGGCACCACTGAGGCACATGAGGAAGAGGATCCCGATGCAGAAGAAGACATCCGTGTTCATCCGCCGCTCAATTTTGCTGCGTTTGTACCGTGGGCCACTGTTGTTCAGCATGGCTTTTGTCTCGTGGCCTAGGAGAGAAAGTGGAGAATTCAGTTCCTTGAACCTCTTATGCCTCCTCCCTGGGCTATACCCTTGGCTCTTCTCACAGGGGAGCTTCTGATAAACCTGAGACTTCCTTTGCTAAGTGGCCCCTGCACTGCACAACTCTAGGGGGACACTGATCATTTCACAGGTGTCAAAGATTTGTAGGTTTAATTTTGACAGTATTCTGGCAAGAGCCATGTAGGGTCTCAAGGAAGGACTATCTTTCTCTGATTTGTATGAAGGCAGTGTTCCACCCTTTTGGGTTAGAGGTGGGATATAATGGTAGGACAACTGGTTTAACACTATGGTGAAGATATACAAAGAAACATCATTACAGGGATTAGTAAGCCCCCTGGAATGTAGGTGGCAAATAAAAGCTGAGACAATTAGGAGATGGTGTTTGATGAAACAGTCAGAGAAAGGTTCACAGAGGTGATATTTAAGGGAGAGAGAAGAGTGAAGAGCTTCAGGATGGGGAGCTCTGCAGAGGCCTGCAGTAAGACAGTGGTCATTAATTTCCATAGTGATCTCCTTGGTGATGTTAAGGTGCTGGTATTTCCTGGCACCATCCCTGCCTGAACAGCTCCTGGCCTATCTTGGAAATCTGCTTTAAATTTTGTTCAAAGAATGGATGAAGAGATTTAATACTCTTCCCATCATCCCTTCTTCCAGTTAGGGAAACTGAGGATCAAGAGTGGCAGGAAGCTACCCAGATTGAAAGAATAAAGTGACGTGAGTCATGGTGGGAAGCCAGGTTTGCAATTCCCAGTCTACAACTCCCTACACTGAGCCCTGACACCCAAGGCCACACAGCTAAGAGCAGGAAGTCAGACAGATGTTGTCTTCAGGCACCACCACCTCTTCAGGGCTGCTGGGTTTTAATTACTGTGTTAGACTTTGCAGTCAACTTTGAAAATGCTCATCACGTACTTCCCATGCAAAATTAAAGAAAACCAATATATCAGCTCCGGAAACAACGGGTTTTAATGGTGGTTAGCTGGTTGCCGCGTGGATTTAAAGCAGCAACAGCACAGCAGGGGTGAGCAGACATTAAATTAGAGTCAAGTCATTGTGTTCATGAGGACTTCTTGCTACACAGCAAGCACAAGTCAGTGACTTGAGTCTCTTTCTGCCTGCCTCGAGGGCTCCCGGTCCACCGTCTTCACCTACTTTTTCTTCATCTGCTGAGCCCTCTGTGCTCGCTACAGCTGGGGCATGGTGAGTGGTACAGAGTCACACAGAATTCAGCTCTGCAGATGCTGTGTGTGGCCTTGGGTTACAGTTAATCTCAGGAGACCCGAGATGAATAAATTTCTCTGTACCTCAATTTCTCCTCTGCAAAATGGGAGATAATGGCTGCATGTTTAGGGTGCAGGAGTGAATTACAGTACAGTAGATTCATGCCTGGGTACACAGGAGCATGTTTATGGATGTTTATTGTGAGGAGCACACACCCTGCACTGAATCCCTTCCTCCTGGAAAGCTCAGTGTGGCCTCTGACCCATGTCCTCCTAATGACTTCACCGACAATGCCAAGGGAGAGAAGGAAACTCTGGGCTGGTTGTTCTCAACCAGGGCTGCCTTTACTCCTCAGTGGGCATTTGGCAATGTCTGGAGACAGTTTTGATTATCACAACTTGGGAGAGGAGTGAAACTTATGCACCTAGTATGTACAGGCCAAGGAGCCTGCTAAACATTTTGCAAGACCGCCCCCTCACTCCAAAAATTATTCCAGATCGGCACCACCTCCCCTTTGGGTATCACAGTTCCAGGGCTGGAGGCCTCTGCTCTGTGTACTGTCGCCAAGAAGTGTCATGCTTGTTCACAGTTATTTTTAGAGCATGGTTCACTCTAGGCATCGTGTTCGGTTCTATTCACGGATAATCTCCTTTGAACTTCACAGTCCTACAGGGCAGGAACTCTTGGTCCCTTTTGCATTTAAAGTTTGACTGACAAGCACAAGAACATGGAGAACATGACTAGAACATGACTTGGGCCACCTGCTACCCAAGGACGTGGTCAATACTGTCCCCAAATGTGTCCCCTCCATTCCTACTCCCATCACCCACTTGGGGTTCTTTGCTTTTAACAGAGATTTAAAGGCCAAAAAACAAAATGGTCTGAATGTTGTTTGTTCCCTAAATGTTCAGGTTTTGGGAGCTTGGTCTTTGATGCAGTGATGCTGGGAGATGGGATCTTTAAGAGGTGGAACCTGGCACAAGATCCTTAGGTCAGTTGTGGGGTGCACCCTAGAAAGGACTGTGGGGCCCCAGTGTCTCTCTGCTTGCTGTTTGGCAGTGGGGTTGTTCCCCCAAACATGGGCTCCCTCCTTGGTGCAACCTATTCCAGAGTCCTCATCAGAACTGAGACATTGCCAGTGCCATGTCCCCAAACCTCCCTGATTGTGACCTAAATAAATCTCTGTTTGTTACAAAGTTTGCCAGACTGAAATCTGCCAGTATAGTAGTGAACTGTGGACTAAGCCCTCATATCTGGAGCTATAAAATAGCCATAAAAACAATGACAAAATCACTGGGACTGGGGATGTGGATCAGTGGCAGAGCCTTGCCAGCATGTACAAAGCCCTGGATTTGGTCCCTAGCACCACAGAAAATAGGAGCTGCAGTCAATCAAGCTCTCCCTTCACTGGACAGTGCTGGGTGCCTTTCATATGTTGGTTTATTTGATCCTCATGGATCCTTTTAAGGGTCACAGATATTCCTTGCACTGCACAAATGAGGTCTACAAAGTGAAGTTGTTGTCTGGTGAGGTACTTTTGCAGGCCAGAGGTTTTCTCCATCCTTCCTTACTGTCAAAACCCCTCTGAGGTGAACGAGTGTGAATCTCTCTCCCTGTGTGGCCCAGGGGAGTGATGCTAATGCAGCATCTTGTGGAGGGAATAAGGTGCTGTGATTCCCAGCCTCAGTCTGTTTAGCTGAGAAATGGGAATCCCCATGGCTTTAACCCCGTGAGCTGTTCTAGGCTCCTCCACGACTGAAGGTGGAATCACAGGAGAGGGTGAAGGGAAGTTTGGACATAAAGAAGCTGCCCAGAGACAAGTACCTGTATAGATGACAATGCCCACAGCCACCTCGGTGTTTCTGATGGTGCAGCCTCGAAGCAGAAGACTCTCACTGCTGAAGCCAGTCCTGGTCTTGTCAGGATGCTCCCTGGAAAGGTGAATGACAGACAAGGGCCTTTCTATGTGGTCACTGAATAGCATCACGGAACTTCAGCTGGTGAGCAAACATAGCCCCCTCTTCCCGCCTCTCAGAAGAGCGATAGAAACTGTGGATCTCCTCTCCTTTATGTTCAAACATATGACTTCATTGCTCCTAGAAGGCCCAGGTGGGCACTAGACTACTGGGAGGGCGTTGTCCACTCTGAGGAAATCATTGTTTATCCACGTACAAGGCATAACCTGCTGAAAAGCCTCAGTGTTGGTTCTCATATTCAAATTGATGGTAGGGCAAATTGTGGGATCCCCAAGGACTGGCATTGCGTTCCCTTTAGGCAGTGTTCCCATGACCGTTCTTCCCCAGCTGCTGGGGACCAGGGCTGCACAGGGACAGCTAAGCCAGTGGACGATGCCAGGCAGTCCTGCACCAGGAGACGGCAGGCCACGGTGATGCAAGACTAGGACAGGGAAGTCGCAACTCCTCCCCTGCACCTCACGCTGGCTTTCTCTCCTACCCTGTGCTTCACCTGATCAGGCTCTCATAAAATAAGCAGCCCTCGCAGGAGGTGGACAGTGGCCTTTTACCCAAATTCCCGAAGAGGAGGGAAAGTTTCCTCCTTCCTCTGCCCCAGGGAGTAGGGCCATTTTCCCCCTCACACTAAAGACTTCTGAGCTCAACTGCCTAGTTTATTTCCTGGTTTCTGGCTCTTATTCTACCTTGCTGCCTTTCTTTGGGATTTCCAGCCAGTTTAAGTGTAATTTACAACAAACACAGGGAGAATAGAAAAATACTAATCTGAACCCTGAAAGCTGTTTCTCCTTATAACTCAATATTTCGTTTCTTTACATGTGGTTGTATCTTTTTCATGTAATAACTCCATTAAGCCTCAGAACAAACTGAAAAGCGAGGTCATATCATCATGCCCACTTTATGATAGGAAAGCAGGCAAGTTCATAGAGCTAGTAAGTGCCAAAATAGGGAGTCAGGCCTAGGAAGTCTGGCCCCAGTACCAGGAAGTCTGGTACCGTGATGCCACCCAATGTGCCTTTTAAGGTTAATGTTTCCTGTGTGTATAAACCAAGTTCATTTACATGATTTTACTTGACTCTTTATGGCTCTCGAAAGGTCACAGATTACTTGTGAAAAAGCAGTTCAGAGAAGGTGAGGGGTTTTCCCAGGGCCAAGCAGCTAGCATGGGGAGCATACTAGGGCTAGGGAATCTGGATCACAGGTACCGCTCTATTGTGTTTCTGCCTCCCTGGAGCCCCTCCCCATCATCTGGTACTGAATCAGTCATTCTGTGTTCAACTCTGAATCTCCCAAGGAAAATGCCCTCATTTCCTGCTGGGATACTGTTAACCCTTTTCTGCTGCTTGTCTCTCCTACTTTTTTTTTTTTTTTTAATAAAGAAGGGGCTTTGGGGAATGTTTGTTAGGATATAATATAACCATTTTGATTCATTGTATACATTTTCACCATGATGATCCATGCATATGGTAAGTGATACTGGTTTCCCATAAGGTCAGTGATATGAATTTTCCCTTTGAAATAAATTTAATTTTATTTAAGCTAGATTTTTTTTTAATTTTATTTAAGGAGAAAAGGAAAAAAAATAGAGAAAGGGTACAAGTTATACAGATTTGCAGAAAAAAAAGAACAGTAGGAAATCACTAGTTAATGGATTACATATTGTCATCTTAGAAATAATTGTTCAAGTCACAAAATTAAAGCTTATAAAGTGGACATTCCATCAATGATACTGCAAACAGTTCTGTTCAATGATCCAATAAAACTCTGTGATATCATATTCTATCTTATACACTTAAATATACATGCAGTTATATAGTTTAGAGCACTTTCTTTTCCTCTCTTTTGTACAATGACTATTACACATTTTGGGTTTCATTGCTCTCACGGTTCTTATTACTTTTTTGGAAGAGAGTAAAACCAAATGTGACATAACAGAACAGAATCGGTCAAGGCAAAAGGGTGGACATAATAGATAATGTGAAAACATAATACAAGGTGATCAACAATGGTTACCATAATGCCTCCCGCTATCTCTAATAGAATTGCCTATACCATTAGTTATAATACAATTGAACAAAACTGTAAAGAACAAAACCGACAAAACCAAAACATTGGAGACATTGTAGGTCTTCAAAAGTAGATAAAAGTCAACAAGAATGGGCGTTATAATGAATCTCATTATCTTCACAGCTGATGCCTAAATTTTCGAACCTGATACTATCCAGCAAAACAGAATAGGGGAACATCAGTTAAAAACCAGATGGTGAGAGTAATACAGGGCTTTAAATCGAGGTAATGGAAAGTCAAAGTGGGTTACTATAATATATCCTGCTATTTTTTTTCCTTTAATTAAAAGGATAAAAATTTTAAAAAAGTATTAAAAAACTCAATAATGGAGTGGAGATTGAGATAAAAGAGGGCACAACAACGAAACAGCGCAGATCAAAACATAACCATTTAAGCAGAATAGTGTTTCACCACCAGATAATCCTGACCTAAAAGTAGTTACCATATTGTCTCTTTCCTTGAAATCCTTGAGTACAACTTCGTATACTGTAGCATTGAGTATATCAAAATAATGTAAAACCATTTAAGAGAATGGCAGCATTACAGAGTATTTAGAATCGACTAACAGAAAATTAATAATGGTTTCTGTATAATCTCCTTGTCTTTAAAAGGTTTTTGCTTATACTATCGTACATAATAAAATCCAGTAAGATACAACCTATTTAGACCATTGGAGACAGAAGGACAAAAGCTAGATGAGACTTCAAAACAAGATGATACTAAATCAGTATTACCTATTAAGATGTCATTTTCTCCAAAATAGCTGTTCCTATCATCCAATCTTCTCTGCCTCATTTCTGTTGAGCTCTTATTCTGTCAGTAGCTGTCAGTTTGTCTTCTTCACTTTGTTCTCTGCTCCATTAGTTGTGGCCTCCACTATTTCTGGATTCTTTGTATTTTTCTTTTTTTAGAATATCCTGCAATACTCTCTGTAGAGTTGAATTGGTGGTTGCAAATTCCCCCAGTTCCTCTTTATCCTGGAAGCACCTTGTTTTTCCATCAATTTCCAGGGACAGTTGTGCAGGATATCTCAATCTTGGCTGGAGATTATTATCTTTCAAAGCTTGAATTATTTCCCCCCACTGTCTTCGTGATTTGATGGTTTGTGCAGAGAAATATACTGTAATTCTGATGGGTGCTCCCTTGTAAGTGGTCTGTTTCTTGTCTCTGACAGCTTTTAATATTCTGTTCTTGTATTGAATTTCTGGAATTTTTATTATTATATGCCTGGGTGTTGCTCTGTTTGGGTTGTAGGTAGCTGGGGTCCTGTATGCCTCATACATCTGAGTATCTTTACCTTTTGCTAAATTAGGAAAATTCTCCTGGATTATTTCTGTGAGTAGCTTTTGTAGTTCATTTGTTTGTGTCCCTACTTCTTCTTTTATGTTCTTAATCCTTAAGTTATGGATCCTCTTATCATCTTCTTGTCTTTGTATTATTGCTGTTTGTTTCTTTGTTATTTTTAAGAAGTTTTTCATTTCATTCTCCCATATTACAATTCTGCCCTCCAGTTCAGATAGTCTGTCCTTAGTTTCTTTCAAGCTGTTATGCCAGTCTTCGATAGACTTCTTAGTTTCTTGGTAGTCCCTTTGAACCTGCTTCACGTATTCTATGCTTTCCCTGTTTTCTCCATCAAACAATTCTCCCCTCTTTTTCTGTTCTTCCATTCCACCATCTGTTTTTTCTTGGGTGGGGCTTAGCATTTCTCTAACTATTTTGCATACTTCTAGCTTCAGGTCGTTGATAACTTCATTCCTGAATTGGTCTATGAGGCTCTCTATATGATGCTTTATGTGTATTGGTGCGGTGTCCGCTATTGCCTGTTTCTCAGAATTGGGGGCCGAGGAGCCTTTCTTGTTGCTGCCTCTTCCCATATTCTCTGTTCCTTATATATGCAAGCTTATATGAGAGGCCCAGCTTCTCTCCCTGTCAGCCACAGCCTGATCGAATTGCGCTGGTTAGGTGTTCCCACTCACCGCTGCACACCAGGCAGCCTACACGGGGGCCCGCCCCTCCCGGCCTCCGTTGGGCTCGGGATCTGGGTTGGGCCAGCCTACGGGGTCCGCTGGCAGCGTCACGCAGGCCAGGCACTTTTCACCAATCCCGCCCGAGAGAGGAATGTGTGGCTGGAGTCGCCACCACGCCCTGCTCCCGCAGGACTGCTTGGGCCCAGAAAGTCCTCCGCTGGAGTCAAACTGTGGTGGAGTGTCAGTTTCTCTCACTCACCTCGCCACAAGTCAGTACACGCCTCCCTGCCCGTTTGTTTTCAACACCGTTCGCAGACTCCCGTTCTCAGAGCTTCCGCGCGTCTCTCTCCTTGCCGAGCCGATGTAGAGGCAGCCAGCCACCGCGCGGCGGGAAACCCAAATCGCGGCTTCCAATGGCACAGGGTCCAGCCTCAGCAGCGAGACTTTTCTGTTCCTGTTTTAGCACCAGGACTGCATTCCAAGTTGGTTTCTCTCAGCCGAGTTCGTTCCTGAGTCAGCAGAGCATAACTCCACCTGCTTATGTCTCTTTAGTCCGCACCATACCTGGCTTCTGAGCCTAGTTTTTCAGAGAGCCTCTGGTAGTTGCTGTTATCTGTCCGCCATGTTCTCCCGGAAGTCCAATAAATTTAATTTTAAAAAAGCCAGTTAAAAGTTCAGTAGATATAAGTATAGATTGACAAATACGATAAAAATCATGAAGGTGGTTCAGGAATGGCTTTGGAGCCCCAGTTTCCCCTTCTTTCATCAAGGAGGAGCCTGGCTGTGGGCTGGCAAATCTTGACAGTGTCACTGTTGGTCATGTGTGATTTGAAGAACCACTCTTTGGCGCCCTGTGTTCATAGGGGTGCTCCACTAAATGGACTGGGGAGGGGCATTTCTCGGCTTTGGCCGTTGTTATTTTAGGAGGATGATTTTTGTCTTGGGGGGCTGTCTAGTGCATTGTAGGAGGTAGGGCAGCATCCCTAACTTGTACCCACAAGGTTCCAGATGCACTCCTCCTCGGTTGTGACCCCAACCCCAAATGCCCCCAGACATTGCTAATTGTCCCCAGGTTGGGGAAGAGGGAGATGTCTCTTGGTGGGGAACCACTGTTGTATACAGAGTTGTTTAAAACTTGCGTTTTCAAATCTGACATTGCTAATACTTCACCCAGATCATCACAAACTGTTTATCTTCGAGGCAGCCTATGCAGTTACAGGGAACTCCTGAATTAAGCTGACCAGGGGGTTTACTCAGGAGAGAGTACAGCTCATGGGTGCTGGGCCTGGGGATATTCTCCTTGCTGGCAGTGGCAGGGGTGTGAGATGACATGGAAGGATTCTCTACCATCTATGCGTTGGCTAACCACATGCACTTTCAGGGCTTGTCTGGGGTTCAAGAGAAGAAGATATTGACCGAGCGGTGCTGAGGAAGTCTTGTTGTGAAATCTGACCAAGGTGAACAACAGCCCAGGTTGACAGCCAAGAAGGGCTGGCTGCTTATTGAAGGTACAGAAGGAGACAGGGTCACAGGGAGCTACTCAGCAACAAGGCTGCCATCTGAGCAAGTAAGGAGGATGACTCAAGGACTTGGGATGGAACAAGTCCAGAAGCTTTGGGCACAAGGGCTGCATGCCTTGCCAGGGCAGGTGACCAGCTTTGCCTGGCCAGGTGCCTGCAGTGAAGTCTTCCTCTTCTCCAGCTCGTGCTCTGCTCTGCAGGTCTCCATCTGCTCTCCGTGAGCATTGAGAAGCTACCGCTGCTCAGCTGGGATGCAGCTCCGTGGTAGAGCACGTGCCTGGGTTCAGTTCCCAGCACCAAAAATAAGCTACTCTTTCTCTTGTATTGTTCTTTGCCCACTCAGATGTCTCCTTCTGATATCCCATATGGCAAAAGAACTCGTGGGTGGAACGAAACAGAGCCACCTGCATACCCAGAAGTCTCCTCGAGCCGCCTCCTGGGCCCTGTCTGGAAGAAGTTGCTGTAACATGCCTGTGCTCAGTGAAGCAGGGCAATGGGAAACACTTTGGGTTGGAGTCAAAAGATTCACATTGAAGTCCTGACTCTGTCCGTATCTGTTGTGTGAATTTCGGTGAATCTTGAAGTCTTGCATCACCAAATTCCCTGTCTGAAAGATGGTGATCGTGACCCCCATTTCCTTGGGCAATTGTGAAGGCTGCAGAGATGATATCTGTTGATTGGCATGCTCTAAGAACTATGAAAGCACTGTAGGTGTGCATTTATTCTATCCTGGCTCTTATTTTACAGAAAGTCCAGTAGTCTGTTATATGAGTAGAATTACAATAAAATTCTCAGGATGAACCCAAGTTGGAGAAGATGAATAACAATAATAACAGCCACAGAGGCCACCATTATTTGGATGTCTGTTATTTGCTCTGCCACAGGCCTTGCAAATGACAAGCTTAATTCTAAGAAGAGAAGGATCTTGTGATGATTCTTATTTTACAGATATGGCAAGTGAAGAGTTAGTCATTTTACGCAAGCTCACACAGCTGAAGATTGGAAGAACCCTGGTTCAACCCCAGGTCTAGCCAACTCTAACGTTCCCCAACCATCTCTTTCATAAGACCTATCTTAGTTAATTAAAACATTTCCCTTTCTTGAATCAGAGCATGGTCTTAATTTTGATGCTCTTTCACCAAAGTTCTTAATAAACCATTAGGACATTTAACTTTGACTAATAACAGTTACTCAGGAAAAAAATATTTCCCAACTTGGAGTTCTCTAGTTCTTTTTTGTAACAGAAAACTTTCACTAAAGTTCTTAATAAACCATTAGGACATTTAACTTTGACTAATAACAGTTACTCAGGAAAAAAATATTTCCCAACTTGGAGTTCTCTAGTTCTTTTTTGTAACAGAAAGAAACCCCCTCAGGATCTAGATGCTTGTATGAACATTTCAAGAAAACATTTAACTGCACAGGAGGAATTTACTAACAGTAAAGAGGCATCCGATACTTACATGTAGCCTTTGAATTTGTTGAGGTGATTGTTGGGTTTTTCACACACGATGGTGTTGTGGAAGTGCTCTGGTTGGAACTGTCCCTCCTGTGAGAGAGAGGACTCTGTGTGAGGTTATTAAGTCGGAGTGATCTAGTCTTAATAGGATTATCAGAGAGCTAATCACCATTAGAGCCACGGCAAGTAAAGTAATCCCTGTTTCGCCCAGCTGCGGTCCTTAAAATAACGTGTCAGAAGAGAAAAGTTAAATCCTCATTATGGAAGAGAAAGTAAAAGCAGGTGGGCAGCTGGATGGAGGTGGAGAAAGCTGGCTTCTCTGAACGTGTTTCTGTGATACACCTGGCTTTGAGCCCCTGGCTCAGCACCATCCGATGGAGCTTCAGCAACGATGGTCACATTGTAAATCTGCACGGTCCAGTGTCACATGCGCCTCTGCACACCTGAGGGTGGTATTCTGACAACAGGAGTTGGTTTTTAAACTTAATTTCAATTAAAACAGCCACATGTACCTAGAAGGTACACACATGGAGCAGCACAGCATCAAAGAAATGGATTCTAAGTTCCATACCTAGAGATGACCGCAGCTGATCCAGTGATACACTTCTGGGTTTAAAAAATGTATCCACACATATAGTGACGTGTGTACACGGACATCCATTTATGCACTTAAAAAGTCATGTTCAATTCATCTTCAATGTTATGTTAATATTTTATTTTTAAAGCCTTTACACAATTTTATTTTAAAGAAAGAAAGAAAAAAGTTAAATATAATGGTGAAACCAAGTTTCAAAGTTAGTTGATTTTAAAATCTGTATGAACAGACGGGATCCTGTTTACATGAACCTACCGTGTGCTCGTTAACCACTTCGCTGCTGGATACTTACAGTGTTCCACTTTATTTTGCTATTATAAAAATGTTGTCAAAACAGGAGCTGATGAAAGCAAGTAAGTAGCACTTACTGGACTTTTATTTCCATTTGACCCTGGCTGAGAACTTTGTGTATCTTCTTTATTTTCAAAACTTAAAATTATCCTATAATTTTAAACAAGAAGCAAGAGTTTCACTTGTGCCCTCTTGGCGGTGGGAACTGTGTGGTTCGGAAGAATAAAGCAGACTGCACCACCCTGGGGCAGGGGATCGTGTCTAAGTCTAACTGCAGACCTCTGTGTTTTTACAGGCCCAGCACATTGCCTCCCGGGGAACAAACTTGTCCTGAAGCATGTCATATATGTTCTTAACTTGTCCTTCTTAAAAAGGTATTGCAGTTGGACAAGGCTTTATAATACAACACAGGTAAACCATAGAAAGAGGTGAGGAGCTCTTGTTTCCTAACACTCTTCCTCACTGGCTAATCCTATGTTCTAGTCCTGAGCCTCGGTTTCTTTATCTGTACAGTGGGACTAACACCGCCTGACTTGGCCCTCCTCTGTGCCTCAGAAGGTGGAATCTCTGTGGAATAGTTCTGTAAGGTGTGACATGCTGTGCAAGTAGAAGGTGGGAGTGTTAACAGGGGCTTGGAAATGGTTCCTTGAGCATAGCCTGCAGCATGGGGAGTGAATTTATCGCTGAGTTGCAAGGTACACTTGTTCAAGGGGTCAAGTTGATCCAAAGAAATGATGGCATTTTCTGTCTCTGTGTAAATATACTGTCCACTGCATCTGTAGGAGAGCTAGCATAAATAAACTCCTCTCTTGAAATAAATTATCCATCCAGGAGTTTCTAAAAATATATGGCCCTTTCCTTCTGCAGGTATCGATTCCTTCAGGGACAAACACTTTCCAGGTCCTGAGATGATGACAAATCATGTTGCAATTTGTCAGCTGCTTCCCTGCCCCTGAATAAGTCACGCGTTCCACTCCTGAGCCGTACCATGGCTCCTGGCTGTTTCCAAAAGCCAGGCTCGTTTTGGGGATGAGTGGCAGCAGGGTCACAGAGCCGATGATCCTTCTGCAGAGACTCTCTGTCCCTGTTGTCCCTGCAGATTTTCAGCAGTGGTGAAGTTTGACTTTCTCAGTTCTTGTGGGGATCTGTGAGTAAACTTCCTACTAAAGTCCTTTACTTCAGGCACTGGGAGAGAGTGGGTCCTCTTACTGGAAAGGTGACCTTGCTCCTCCTTGCTACCTATTCCCTGGGCTCCTTCCTTCTGTTTGTGAGATAGACTGCTGAGGAATGCACAGGCATGCTGCCGACTGACCGTAGCTGACCACTGAGGTCCCGCCTGCCTTTGAGGGTATTTGGTAGCTCACTCCCGAGGAGCTGCTGGCCAGGACCCTCACTTCAAGCCTGTTCCAGAACTTTGATTCCCTTCTGAGGGGGCGTACAGCTCCCCTTACTATCCCACAGTTTTCTTTAGTGTGTGAATGAAGCTCAGGTTACTAACTTTTCCTTCTTGACTCAGTCTTTTATCTAAGGAACTGGCCTTTGGCTTAAGTTCCACTGATTATGTTCAAGGCACAGGGAGAAAATGTCACCTGGAGAAGAGTGGACGCCCTTGCTTTGCATCAGGGCAGACCTACCTGTCTTGAGCACTTACTGTGGACTGGGTCTTGGACAGTAAATTCTCACAGTGATTTAAGTGTGGACATATGTGCCAATAGTCTGAAGCAACGCGATTGCCTCATGGTGGTGAGCTGGGATTGCAACTTGCATCACTGGAACAGAAAGGCAACCACTGTTGACATCATTGTCATTATCATCATGCCCTTATTCCTCTTCCACTTTCTCCTGTGTTCAGTACTGCTGAAGCTCTTATTAAGTGCCTAGTATGTACCACAGACCAACTACGTATTTTATGATACTACGTCCTTTAATTCTCTTGATGAACTCTATCAGGTATGTTCTGTTATTTCTCTTCTCTTTTCTTTTAACAAAGAAACTAAGTCTTCATGAAGGTCTTTGTCTTTTCTGGTGCCACCCAGCTAGTGGAGCAGGAGGACTGCATTTACTCTTAGCTAGGTCAGTCTTCAGGTCTGCTGTCTTAGCCCCAGTGTTATTTGGATGCACAGATGAGACCCCAGTGTTCAAACGCCCCCCTAGGCCTTATTTTCATCCCTGCTCCCTTTGGTTTTTTTGCACTATTGATCTTGATCCCGCAGCTTCATGCATGCTAGGCAAGTGTTTAACCACTGAGCGACATCCCAGGCCTTTTTATTTTTAAATTTTGAGGCAAGGTCTTGCTAAGTTGCTAAGGCTGGCCTTAATCCATTTACCTATCTTTACTTGAATGAAGCGCTTGATGTAATGAATTCCTTTCCTAATATGTAGCTGGAAATACATAACAATTTCTACATACTCAGTACAAAGTTATCTTTTTCAAGTATATTTGCATTTTAAAGGGTGTGGGTAGAGGTTAAGGCACTAAATTGCTTAGAAAATATTCTTTGGAGGTTTTCAATGTATTTTAGCATTTCAGTTAGTTTTTTTCCTATTTCTATAAAGGTCACTCTCATCCCCATAGACACTTTTACTCTAGTCACTAAGAATTATTTGCGCTTTTAAAAAAAATGTGCCTCTGCCCCATGCTGTCTGTGCCTCTGTTTAACATGAAGGAGTCTAGATCTTCACATCCTTTTGGAAGGCTGGTGGCTTCCTCTGGGGCAGCTCCTGGAAGGCTTGGTTTAACAGGCATGCCATAAAGACTTGTGGAGGTCAGGTTAGTGCTGGGGAGGGTAGTTTCAGGAAGGGGTGTATTTAATGACGATGGGTGAGGAGATACAATGATCACTGTAGAGACTCACCTACAAAATTAGGGGAAGGACCAGTTATAATCTTAACTGATTGTAGAAATGAAGCCACTTCTTGAATGGGAATTGTTTGGCTTGGCTGATCCATAATGTCTTCAAAATTCTAGATCCCAACTTGGGCTAACCTGATCTCCCTATTGTTTGTTTATGAATTCAAGCATTCACTGACTATCCATGATATATGGGCCATAGTGGAAAGTAAGAGAAAATCAGAGAGAAGAGAGAGGTTATGACTCAAACTAATTACTGGAGCCATAAAACTACTCAAGGTTTCCAGTCTTGGGCAGGCGTGTCAGTGGCACTACCTTTGAAACAAAAGAAAGTGGATCAAAGGCCAGGGTGTAATAACTTCCTGGGGTGGAAGCACTTCGTGTTGACCTGTGTCTCAGATATAGCAGGCTTGCCACTGCCTAGGGCCACTGGAAAGGCCACCATGAAGCATTCAGTCAAATATATTCTAGCAGCTGAAACAAGGCCATGTATTGCATGTGCCCCGAGTTCAATTTACCACTACTTTTTCACAACTGGATATCACATTGATCAAAAATGTGGTGCAGTCAATGCATGCATGAGCTTTAGGGATTGTTACTGCTGGATCTTTGGTTTCTGTCTGCCAGCCTTCCCTTACTCCTTTCTTTTTTCATAACGACTCTTTGACTTCCTTTTGGGAAAGTACCTTCCTGGTTCCTAATCTTGGTACGACTATAAGTCTAGATGCCTTGCCCCTGAGCCTCTCCCACTATGGGACTTTGAATTGGGTGTGATGCTTAAGGAGGAAACCGTCCAGCAATTCCTGTTAGCAATACTCTACTGCCCTGAAGTTTTCCCTGGTTCTTGGTTTTTCTGAGCCGGTTCTTCAGATTATTTTTGATTGTATGTGTCAGGTCATATGCTTCTCCCTTCTATTACCTCCCCCCCTTTGACATTCTTGTAATAATTCTGTTTTGTTTCTCTTAGAATTATCTGTTATTTGCAAAAGAGTCCTATCAACATGGCAGCCTGCTTAGTCTGACTGGCATATTAAATAACCTCTTCTGGACCTTAAAAAATATTATTTAGTAAAGTTATAATTTACAAAATGCAACCCCTTATTTACTTTGTTTTATCTGGTTCCCCCACATCACCTATGAAATATTTGGAACAAGGCAGCCCCATTTTATTGAGAAGAAAACTGAGTGTCGATTATACTAAGTAACCTGTCCAAGTTACTCATCAGAACACAAGTTTTCCTCATTCTCAGCTTTATACTTGTTCTTTACCTGATGTGTTTGGTATTGTCTGCTCCAAAAGCAGGCTCTTGGGGGCTTTTTAATGCTATATTCCTAAATTTCTTTTATTGGCAA